CACTGGAAATGGATAAAGGCTCTCCCAGACAAAAACACACCTGAAAATAACACGATCGTCAAAAGCCCTTTCATTAAATTTTACTTATTGCACGTATTCCCCAAATCAGCGGATACATTTCCTCCCTTTAAAGCTAATATCTAACCTAAATACTGAGCAATAGTGCGGTCTTTCTTTTGAGTGCGTGAAAAACAAGGTTTCTGCTCCACGAAGAATTTTGCATGCCCCATGAAGTTCAAATATATACTTTTAATGGATGTGAAAAATCTTTTAAATTATCCCCATTTAAAAGGAATCTCTTAGCCTAGCTACAAATAATTTTAACACAGCTTCTACAGTTTTGTGGTACATTATTGATTACTTTATTTTAGATAAACCAGTAGAAGGTTAGATAAGTGTTGAGCATATACATTCATCGATTATTACAAGTATATATGTTCTGTAAAGTACAAATATCGCGTGATTGCATTCCTTTTAATTCAATGCTAAAAGCATGTACTAAAGTTGTATCTAAATATCTTTTTATATATAAATGTCTCCTTATTCATACAAGAGACATGTAAATGTTGCTGAGACATAACTCATAAACAAACTTCGAGTACAATTCATCATACATGGATTATATATTATATAGAAAAGAACATGCATTATGATTTGTTGTGAATAAATTATTCCTTTTATAATTGCGGAAGGGTTTGAAAGTTACTGGGAGTTTTGTTGCAGTTTTATTAAAAATAAATTGATTATAAAATGTCAGAGACGGCTGAAAGCCTCATAGAAGTTTTGCGAGAAGAATGTTTAAAAAGAGGTTGTAATAGTATCAAGGGATTAAGTTTAATTTTCAGGACTATGGATATAGATTACTCTAAAAGAATTGTGTTCGAGGAGCTTAAAATAGCACTAGGGAAATTAGGAGTGAAATTATCTGAAAATTATCTGCATACACTTTTCAATGCTTTAGATATAAATAGAAGCGGAGGAATCGACTTTTGTGAATTTATGCACAAGCTCCGCCCACCAATGAAACAGTGCAGGGTTGACGTTATCAATCAAGCGTTTGAACAACTTGATGTGAACAAAGATCAAGCTATTATGTTGAATGATCTTGAAGGTAAAGTTTGTCGGGAACAGTGGGTATTTATATGCATGGTTGTTCCGTTTTCTTTTATATCTGTTTTTTTTTTCTTTCTATTTTTTTTTCTTACTGAACAAATTTTGATTTTTCAGTCACCATTTGTGCTCATTATTTTGAAATTTTCTCCTAATTGGATATAATATTTTTCAGCTTTAAATTTATTTATGTCGTACATTGAATATTTCATTTATAAAGTTATTTATATCATAAATCCTAGTTTTACGAATTAATTTCTAGATAATTCCGACCAGCAGTATTACTTTTTTTTCCTAATTGAGCCATTAGCGACATGTAATTGATTGCCTTGTAAATCATGATCGAGTTTCCTAGGTTATTGATTGTCTCTTTCATTGATTATATAACTTTATTATTTTGTTTCCATGGGAACCGTTATAAATTAAATAGTTAAATGTAATCAATATTCATAATTATTGTAGGCAACATCGGAAAAAAATTCTATTTCAAAACTACTCTAAATTCTTGAAACAATAGTTTTGTACATAAAGGAACTGTATAATTCGACATTAATACTCAAATAAATTATACATTTCTTCTCTCCCACATTGTTTTCTAAATAGTTTAATAGCATTTATAGCAGTCTTTGGATTGGTCAGTTTAAGGTAACGAAGATAGGATATATTTTACAGACAATTAGAAGACTAAAAATCAAAGAAATAAGTGTGACCAATTTTATTTATAAATATGCACTAGTAACAAACAACAAATTACTAATAAGAAAATATATTATTAAATAATAGTAAATATTTTACATATGACGTTTTCAGTGCTTATAAAAAATATTTCGTGCTGTAAAAGCAAATAACAATAGAGTATTAAACATTAAATTAAATAATTTGTCTTAATGTATTATCAATAATATCACTTTATAATATATAAGTAGGATCCAATATCTATGTTTTATTCTAGGGCATATCTGATTTTCGTATTTAAAAAAAAAATGATTATCAGAAATAAAGAGATAATCAAGAAAGACATGTCTTATTCATATTTTTTATTCCGTACCTCTAGTCTCAAAATGAAGCTGTTTAAAAATGTATATTTTATCACTGTCTTCAAATAAATTTAAACAATTGTCATGTACACGAAAAATACTACACTATTAATCAGAAACACATTTCACCCTTAGATATTGAATTCTGCTTAAGATTGTGCCAGGTTTCTAAGAACGATATCTTGCACTTACTACTGCTACCAATATAAAGTCTCAATTAAACCCAGTCTGCATCATGTTTTGCGGCAACATTCCATCCACGACACTATTTAAATACATTTTATATTGTCTGTTATAGAATTCGATTATATGCTTGCCTGTTGCAATAGATTTTATAGCACAGGTACTATAAGGGCATTTCGATGGAGTACACTAATGACTACAAACTAAAATATATTTAGACGTTATCCATAAAATTTATCTTAAATAATATTTGTTCGAATAATTCATGCTTAGTTCAAGAATATTGTTTGAAGATTACTTTGCGAAGTAACCAGCTTTTTGTTTTATTTTGACAAACATATCTTTACGCGTCCTCTTATGATAATTTTGTATTGTCTAGTTGTTTTTTTAACTTTCAAAATATTTGCAGTGTTGACAAATTAATAATCGTGTCATAGCATCTATAACTTTTTTATATAGGAAATTGTTATTTCCAGGAACAGCAATCTGACATTAGCACACGAGCTCTTCTTGTAACTTGACTTTGTTGTATTATGATTTTAATCGAAATGGAATTAGGCCTTAGTTTTATAATTTGTAAGATTAAATAAGCAACACATAAAACGAAGAGTTTAATCACATTTTGATTAAGGAAAACGCTTCGTTTGTTACTTTAACTCAACCTTTTTTTAAAAATGAAAAGGATGGAAACATGCCTTAGAAAATATTCTTCCTGTTCTGTAAGTACATCACTGTTTTGTTGTTGTTTGTTTACTAAAGAAATCTTCACAGATTAACAAAAACGCTACCCTAAGTAAGGACGATAACAATATACCTTGCGTTGTTGATAAACATGTTAATGGTTTCGTATGTTTCATTGACTATCTAATTTATTTATCATCAATAACCGTTATGTAAAAACACAATTTCTGTTTATGCATGTCGGGGAGACAGATAGATAAGATATATTGTTGCGCCTCTTCTGAAACTTGTCTGAGAATACCTAAACAAGCAAAAACCGTATATTACACCTTCTTGTAATTGCTTGGGTATAAACAAATACGAATCAATTAATCTCGAAGAAAACAACAAAAGTATTACTTCAATGTGTACCTGAATACACAATGTATCCAGATGTTTAATTAATTACTTTAACGTAGTTTCCACATCACGTAAGTAGGCTGATTACATAAGCTTTTATTTTGTATTTGAGCTTGTACTTTACATGTATTTGAAAATCTAACTTCCATTACCGTTTTATGTTGTTTAAAGTTAAGAAAACTAATTTTCAGTGATTAAACATCAAGTTTAACGTTTCAACGATATTCTGTTCAAAATAACTTTTCACCTGAATTTCAAGCTTTTAAAATGCTTTACTTCTTTGAAATGTGATGTGCCAAACAAAATATGTTTGATAATTAAAAATAATAATGATATTAATAATGTTCAAAATTTCAGCTTTAACACAAGAAGAATGAAGGATGGTTAAATGGTAAAAGTTATATTGCAAACCATACTTATCAGAATGAATACCTCTCAGATGCCATGTTTTATTGTATATGGTGACATATTCGTACAATAATCAGCAATATTTGAACGTGTTGAAAAAATGTTCTCATACAACATACTTTACTTTCATTGTTTGCTTATTTACATCCAAAAATCTAATCAAAGCACAGAAGGCACTGAATTTGTTTGGGTCTCAGAATGTGAGAAAGGTGAAGGTTGTGAGATTATAAACCAATTTGTTTGTAAAGTGTCACCAAATTCTGTTTCCAGTGTTATAACTATAGTAAATTGGCTATAAGACTAATTGTTCGATTCAATGTTTATTTGGCTTAATCAGTTAAAAAAACAACAAAAAAACAAATGAGTTGTCTGAATTGGGATTTGAACTCCGGACCTCTCGCTTCTAAAGCTAGTCTGTAAACGTTACTAAAATTAATACGCCTGTCATTTGACAATCTTTACGCAGTGATCTCCCCTTTATATATTTTTTCGACGTTTATATGTTAATGTACATATCAAGGGAGGTAAACGCTTCGAGCGAGGAGTTTGGACTACTTTCAGCATTTGCAAATAAGAACATTAGGGTCTGAAATTTCGCTACCATTATTTGTTTGGTCTGACGACCCAAACAATTTAAAACTATCACGATTCCATTCAAACAAAATACACATGAAACTTTGATGTACTGACTTGGAAAACAGAGCCATGATTTCGGCATACAATACGTTATATGAAAATAGATTCAGGTATATAGTAAAAGCGTTTGAAAAAAGTCAGAAAGCACTTATACAACAACACGAAGACTCTCAATTCTCCTCAATTGTTTGAAAGTTAACAAAATGTTGAAGGAAATATAAACATGATTATTGTTATTGTTATTTAAGTTTAAATCATAATGCATAGGTACCACATAATTTAATGACATTAACATACTTTTCATATTGTACTAGAATAGCCTAAGTGGGTATACCTTCACATTCTCATGGATAATTTCTGGCAATATATTTAGATTATCAGACCTCCTTAAAAACATATGATCAATCACAATTAATATTTTAAAGATAGAAATGTCATAAATTTAAGTATTTTTAGAATTAAAACATACTTAAGTTTGTAGAATTTTAATAATGATCTGTTTAAAATTAGTTTAATTAAAAGTGGCATCTGACTTTCATGCTTTTCAAAATATTTCTAAGAGATTTCGCTTGAAATACATTACGAAGGAAATTCCTTCCTGTTTTCGCCCAGCTGAATTGTAAATGCAATTTGTAGAGATATTTATTTACGAAGATGTATTGGAGCATTTATTCAGCAGTGATGGACCATGTTAGATAGGATATAGATAATGCTCGTTTGAAATATGAATTCCTCACTGACACATTTTTGAGAAAATGATGTAGTTATGCTGTGTGAGTAAATGATCGTATTAAAATTGAAAATCGTTTACCATGGAACACGCTAAAGTTAACTGGTTACTTGAACAAATTAGAAAACGTTGTTTATCACAAAATGTGAGCGGAATAAAACGCCTTTCAGTGATTTTCAGAATGGTGGATACTGATTATAACAAACGTATATCTTTTCAAGAATTTTGTAAAGGTTTAAATATTTTTGGTATTAAATTAGTAAAAGAGGAGGCAAAGGCACTGTTTGATGCATTTGACAAAAATAAGGATAACCAAATTGATTTCATGGAACTGGTGTCCAAGTTACGACCTCCAATGACAAAAGGAAGAATAGAAGTAATAAATCAAGCTTTTGATTTACTTGATGCAAATAAAGATGGAATTCTTAATATTGATGATTTAAAAAGTAGGTAAATATTTTTCCGACCATAACAATACTGATGTTTAATGAGATTTTTTTCAATATATCGATTTTTAAAAGTACGATCATAAATATTATCATTATTAGTATATTTTATCATTGCTTAATTACTTATCAATTTTGTTTGTCTTAAGCAATGACTATTAATATAAAAAAATGTTTCATTAGATTAACCGATGTTTTATGTTTCATGGTTTGAAGTTTTATAATCATATTTATAAATAGAACCTAGTAAAGATAATAAGATTTTACAAATAATTCAATCCATAAAGCAAACGAATCTTCTAGGTTAAAATACCAAACGTATATCCGTGTTTAAATTTTTTATAGTAAATATTACCTTTTAAATATGTTAAGATTTATGCAGAGACGTCATCATGATTTATTTATAGTTTACCAATTTTGAAATATCTACATAATTTTAACACAGATTCAATCAAATATTTAAGAAAACTGGAAGCTTGAAATGTCAGCAGAATGTATGTTGTATGAATATTATTTGAGGATAACGATAAGGTATGTCAAGTCTTAATTTGGACAAATCAACTCAAAAGGAGTACTTCGAAAACCTTTAGTTCTTGTTTTGCCGCATTTGCATCAATGGCATGATTTATTTTCAATTCATTTCATTTCAATTCAATTCTTTTATTCATTGAAGACAAACAGCTAACAAAACATAGAAAATTTGGCATCAAACTTATTGTGATAAGCAATTACAAGTATGAGTACAATAAAAGGATAGACAATGTTTAAATACCTAATGATGCTGTAATAAAGAAAGTACTAAAATATGAGAGAATGACAAGAAAACAAGATTGAACAACTGACAAAATATTCTTGCAAAGCAAAGTTAATTTTGTTAATTTAGCATGACTTTCACAATTCATTGATATTGCATTTGGATGTCAACCATAGTATTTCTTTAATATTTGGGTTCTTTATAAATATCACATTCAAGCAAATAATGAAATTCATCACCATTAAAGATTGTATTACAATGAGTATAGTTTCAAAATCATTCCTACAATATCCGAAGACTGTTTTACAATATCCATATCATAGGAACAGTAATAGCTGTTTAAGTTCATGTAAATCGTAGATTTACAAAATTCCTTAAGTTTGTAGGCGTATTTTCAATCTATCCTTGGTGTTTCCTTGAAGTACAAAACGTATTGGTACAAATGATAACAAATCGATTTAGAAATGGAAAGTTTGCATTGGATTAAAATTCACTTTAGCACCATCTGTTTTAATGTAAACGAAGAAATGTTTGCAAGTCAGGTGATAATATTTATCTAAATATTCTACCTGCACTATCTACTACAAGCCAACAAGTAAGCGAGATTCATCTTTGGGATTTAATACATTTAAGCAAATGCGGCTACATAACATCTGACCCCCTTTCAAAATTCCAATTTGTTTAGTTCCGCCCATTGTTTTCTATTTAGGGCACACTCTTTCTATTACTTAAGGACCATGTGCCGATTTTCATGGAATGACACGGACGTGTCACATTAAGGGTTGCGTGATAACCGCGGTATGAACACATCTGCGGATGTTTCTAAATTCAAAATTTTACAATTTCATGTATAAAATGTTGAATTCTGCTTAAGCCTGTGCTAGGGGGCGTGGACGGTAGTTTGCTCTTGAAGTCCATGAACGGACTCAATTAAACCGAGCATTTTAATGCAACATTGTCAATTTTGCCATTTTGGGCTTTCTTTAGGAATTCTAATTTTCTTAATTCTTCCTTTAGGTTTAATTGAAAATTACAAGTAAGTAATTGGTAAAGTAGTTAAATTATTGGAGTAATGCATTTTAATGCTCAGTTCGTCAATTTTCTGTCCACACATTTATGCATTTCATAAATGTATAATTAACTTTCTTACTAGTAACTTAATGTAATGCATACATTGCTTGAAACTTAACTTAAACGAAGCATTTTACAGATTACAGAACTTATTTCTATGTATTACTTCACACAGAATATGCATTGTTTTTGGAATTGCTTTCATCTTCTTCGACCTATTTCATGTTTTAGACATTAAAGTTATATAAAGGAATGTATTACTGGATGAAAATAGAATTTTATTTCGAGTTTTTTATCTATAATTATTTATTATATCTATAAATATTTATAACTCACAATTCACCTCAATGTTATGTATCTCCGTACTTTGCCCTGTACTTAGGCAACTGGTATATTTCTGTATATGTAATATTTTACTCTCTAGAGAGGAAAAACAAAATGTATATAACAGTAACTATAGTAGTTTTTTCTATCTGTTTCATTAAAGTTTAATCAGCAATGTTATATCATTCTAAATAATTAACTTTTTCATAGTTTTATATTGTGAAAAGTTTGTTGTTTTTTTTAAATAAAATTCAACCAAACTTTAAACTTAAATATATGTTAATGTTGCATTGAAAAGAAACAAAGCGTTCATTAAGATATTCAAATATTTCATTAGCATTTAGCGCTTCTTTTATTTTTTTTTAATCTTATTTTACTTTATTTTTTTATTAAGGAAAATTTTATGTTTAATTTTAATATCAGCAACGGACAATTTCTACAATTTATTATTTCCAGTTAAATGTAGTATATTACACGTAGTAAGATGCTTTGATTTTAGCTTTATGCAATAGTTTGCTTTGGTTCAGGAACCTTTAATTTCAGAGTTGCCAAAAAGCACAATTTTAAATATTTCTGAAATGTTTACACGAACAATAAACCTGTTGCTTAGTATTATTTAATATTTAATATTATATAACTTAAATTGAAGAATATAGCAGTTCTGTTTGCCTCTATTAATCCTAAAATATCATTTTTTTTATTTAATTTTACCCATGAAATACGGTGCTATATAAGTCAAATATATTTCATATTTGTAAAAAATAAATATGAAATATAAACAATATGAAAGTGGGCGGAGTCAAAACTCCAATATCTTTAATTCAGTTATAAACGCTGTACAGAGGTTTAAAGAGTGTTTACGTGACGTCACAATATAGCGCCAAACATCGCGTGCAAAACAAGACGCATTTATGAATAATAAATATGTAATACTGCGCGCTGTACAATTGCAGTTGCGTAGCAAGCAAGGGGATTCGTAACCATTTTTGTTTTGATAATGAAATGAAATAAAAAGGTTATTTTTTCGATTTTCGTGAAATATGGTACAAAAGATGTATATATTTTCACGAAACATGATAAAATGCCAAATATTTTCATTCGCCGTCCCGGCTCGTGTAAATATGTGGCATTTTATCATGTTTCGTGAAAATATATTCCATGTTCCACTCAAACGAAAAAATATCCTCTTAATATTTGTAAAATATGAATATCAGCTATCTTTCAGATGCAAAAAATTCCAAAATTCACTCAATTCTTTTAAAGTGATGTTTACAAACTGTACAATCCCCGACAATTAAAAAATGTCAAAAAAGTATCAGCCTTAATTATGTTATAAGTTTTTCGCAAAATTCATTAAAATTTCCATATTTTTCATTTTGCATTAGCTGTTTACGATTGAATATCGAAATTTCCAATATTTCCGAACCTTCAAATCATCATTACAGCATTTCCGAAACCATTTATCAGAAAATGCGGATTCAAATTGTTTCGTGTTTATGCTGTGTAACACCGCACTTTGGGGTCAAACGCACTTTGGGGTCCGACCCAAGAGTGCGTTACACTTCGCACCGCACTTTGGGGTCCAACGCACTTTGGGGTCAAAATCGAGAAATTGACCCCAAAGTGCGTAATTATGCTACATATCAACGCACTTTGGGTTCAAAAGTTCTGAAGGTGTCAACTGAGTTCTGCTTAAATACTGAGTTCTGACTTATTTTCGATCTGCGACATTGAAATATTTGAGGTGGAGTTCAAGATGGCGGTTTGATGCTTAAGTGATAAAAGTTTCATTAATTTTACCACTTGAAATATCTAAAATTGTGTCCATATAACAAAGTACTCTAGTACATAAATTGTTAATGTATCCTAAAATTAAAAGATGCTGCGAAAAAATATCATGTTCTGTCAGTCATTTACTTGATAACTTTTTGTGCCATATTAAGCCCCATTTTAAATATGATGGGGATGAAATAAAATGCAGTTAATATTTTTTCCTAAAAAAACTATAAAATACTCTATTGCAATGTTCTGGTGAAATATCCAGTTTCTAGATCAGACTATAAATAGTGATTTTTACAAATAGGTTATTAAGTTTATCAACAAACTCCGTAACAACCGTTCTCCACAGGCTTTTCAATGGGAAATCTTACATACTTCTTTAGAAATGGCAAACATGATTTTTTTAATGTTTAAATCATAGTATCAGAGAAATTTAAGATACTTGTTACCTGAATAAAGTAGCGATAAATATAAAAAGAATTGTCATAAAAGTAGCAAAATGTAAACAATGTAGTATTTGACTTCCATATAAAATACTAATTCACTATAACTGTACTCATTGCCAAAAAGCAACAGATGAAAAAGATGGTTCAGATAATTGGCCAATGAGTAACTTTTTGGATACTATTGAAGTACACCAAAATTTAAAAAAAGCTTAAGTAATACAAATAAAAACACAATTGGCCTTTAAAACCTTTTTCTTATAATATCGGGGGGATCGGGACCCCCCCCCCCCCCCCCCCCCCCCGTGTGAACTTTACATTATTGTATTTTCTGATCGCAGATCAGGAAATACAATGCTGACATATAATCTCTGGCACAGCGCTTCACGACAAATCTCACAACAGTAAGTTTGCGATGTAAAAGAAAAAAAATAGTTTTATTTTGTTACAAGTATCCAACAAATTACAACGCATTCAAAGCTTAAAAGTAGTGATGGCTTATGGAATTGTCAATAAATGCACTATCACAAATTACGCGGATGAATATAATTTTAATCAATGAAAATGCTATTTTTAGCAATGTCGATTACATAATACTTCAGATAAATCTGACTGTCGAGTAGTGGAATATATACATGTCAGACTGGTTTGGCGAGAAGATTTTTGCTAAATTATTTACATCAGTGTTAAACAACAGGTTTATCGTGAACAAAATACCTCGAAATTAATAAGGATTACAAACCCTCAAATTCTATATATTCAGTTTTCTTCGTATAACTTCTCCGTGGTGCAGGGGTGACGTGCTCGTCCAAGGTGCGAGTGGTCTGGGGTTCAAATACCATCGAGGCAACTATTTTTTAAAGTGTCTTTTAAAGCCACGATATGCAAGGATAAAGTGTGGCTGTCATAAAAAAATAACATAAATGATTTTAGATGCAACTCTGGTCATGCAAAAGTCCGTATGTATCAAACTCAAACTGTTACAGTAAAAAATCTAAACGCAGTCGCTGCATCTCGGTGCCCTGCAAGATGAATTATAGTATATTAAAATAAACGTATACAGGAAAATGCTAAATGCAAACATGTACATTCTTTTGAAATAAATGGAAAATGTGAGAAAATATATTTTGAGCTAATTAATTGATACAAATTCTTTATTTGATGAAAGTTCTTCACTCTTTTAAAATCCCTATTGATTCTACTATAATTCAGGATACATGTTTTGATTTTTGTTTACCATTGGCTTTGACTGCAATATATTATTTAAAACACCATGAGAATTCATTTTATTGATTGAATTTTTATGACCCAAAGTGCGGTTGCTTGTCTGATGTTAAAAAATGCATATGTACCTGTTTAACGCACTTTGAGGTCAAAATTGGACCCCAAAGTGCGTAACGCACTCTGGGGTCGAACCCCAAAGTACGTAAATCAAGAAGGGAGTGAATTCTAGAACAATAATATTTTAAGTATTCAAATTTTATATTCTCTAGAAATAATTAAAGCGCCGTTGTAAAGTATATAATTTTATGTTTTGGTCCAGCTATAGAGCAGTGTTTATTATATCATTAACATTGGCCCATGGTTACTCAACGCAGCAATGAATTTTATTAATAAGGGAAAAGCAAATAGAATATTGCATAAAAACATTGTATGTACAGTTATCAAAAGTTCAAGATAATGACATATACATTTGCTCAGGGCTTGCTTAAAACCGCCTGGGAAAAAAACCAATATCAGTTTTTACCTTTACGCTTCTAAATAATTGTCTTTTTACCTGTTGTTAATTGCACCAATCGTAACTTGTATCGGTTACAAATTACTCACAGTTCTATTTTTAAATCAAGCTTCATGAGGCTTACAGTTATTGATCAATTTCAGGATAAACGTATCTGATGTTGAGTTTGCTGAGTTCTTTATTGTGTTGTGATATGGAACTGAGTAAAACGTTTTATCACATGAATATTTCTTAGGAACACTAACTAAGTACATTAACTACAGTTGAATGGAATATATTAAATATGTTTAAATTCTTAAAAATGAAAATACTTTTGTGATCAAATGGCGTGCATATTTGTTGACATGTTTCTTAGCAAAGGATGTTTATCAAGGTTTTTATTTACTTATCTACAAAATTTACGAATTTAAAAAAGAATATATGACTTTGTAACATGATATAAGCAAAATCTGAGCTGTAATCCGATTCTTAAAGGTCAACTAACAAGATGTACAAGCAAGTTAAAATTGAACATAAACGAGTATTTGAACTTCTTGAAAAATTGAGGGATCAATGTTTATTAAAAGGTGTTGGTGGATTAAAATCACTAGCTGTTGCTTTCAGAAGAATGGATACTGACTTTTCAAAGTGTTTGTGCTATCAAGAGCTTGAAGAAGGATTGAAATTGTATGGTATTGAATTTGATAAAAGCGATCTCCGAATGTTATTTGATTCATTTGACAGGGATAGAAATAAAAAGATAGACTTTCTAGAGCTTATTGCTAAACTCAGGCCTCCTATGTCCAAAGTTAGAATCGATGTCATAAACGAAGCATTTGATTTGTTAGATGCAAACAAAGATGGTGTTTTAAAATTGGAAGATTTGAAGAGTGAGTAAAAAAAAGTCATACCTTTTAATGTGAATTATTTGAGAAAATAAATGCATCCATTAACCTATGTTTAATAAATCGTTTTAATCGTACAGTATAGAACATAATTAGTATCAATACTTTTTCATTTCCTTATGATATAAAGAATAGTCAGTTGACATAAAGTGTTAGCTATTGTTCTCAAAACGAATATAATGAAAAATATAAGCAGGAAATTTAAATTAATTAGAAAACGAATAAAAAAGGGCAATCAAAATAATCAATGTTGTAACTAGGCGATACAGCTAATTATGTTACAGGAAATCCTTAGGGTGATATTGATTAGAGAAGTCGTTGAATCACATGAAAATGAACAAGTGTTTTTTTTTTATTATTTCAGTCGTCTATTCTACCAACGCAAGAAGACATCCAAAGTTTGTATCCGGTGAATGGACTGAAGAGCAGGTGCTCCGGAACTTCTTGGACAGTATCGATACACCTGGAAATCCGGATGGTAAAGTGACACGTGAAGAATTCATGAACTATTATGCTGGTGTCAGTTCAACCGTTGATGATGACAGCTATTTCGATCTTATGATGCGGGCGTGCTATGGCTTGCCAAACAGAGGATCGTGAAACAAAGAACAGAAATATCAACTAATAATTGTTTATTATGTTTTTGATTTGCTATGGTTCGCCAAACTTTAATATTATCAAGCTATGTATGTTAGAAAGGGTAAAATCATTTTTAATATAAGAATTGGGAACTACTTCTAGAAAAGAAATGGAAATTAATAGTAACTTATTGTTTAAACTTATCTAAAAATATGTCCATTAGTCTTGATTGTAAATAATTTATATATTTAAAAGGCTTAGCGTGATATTCATATCTAAACATTGTTATTTAAAAATGGTTCTTTAATTCAATTTTATTCTTAAGAACCACTGTAATAATATTGCCATGCAATAAGATACTTAAAAATAATGTATTGAACTATGTTGAATATGTTAAACAAAATAAAAGTTATCGTTGTACTGTAAAAAAAGTTAAACTTAATTGTTTTAGTCCTGTACTTCTAATATATCATATTGTCTAAAGAAAATAGCAAAGATTCCGCAGACCTTAACTTCATCCAGGTGTAAATGGATACCCGTGAGGACTGGCCAATATGTTAGCTGTTAAGGGCGCGACATTGAGACAATTAAATGTCATAAGTCCTCACTGTTTTCGTAGTTATGCGCTTAATTTCTTAGATTAATTACAAGTATGTGATACGATTTAATATTAACATGTCAATTCTACATCAGAAAATATATTTTTGAACTTTAATTACTATTAAGGATTTGTTAACAACATTTTGCTACTCTAGCGCATAGATGTGTACATTTATAAGTAAATAATGTATCAATTTAATTGTTGAGGAATTATCTTAGGTTTTGATTAAAAAACACGTGCATGAAAAAGTCATAACATTTAAGACTGAAATACCAATAAAGCTACGTAATCTGAGCAATTAAATTTATGTCCAGACTCTCGACAAATTGTTTAAGTCTTCATTACAATAAACGAAATGCATACATATTACGTTTGAGCTATGCATATTAAGTTTGAGCTATATTATAGAGTCATAAAAGTTTTATATCTAAAAATTCAATGTAAATATTAATTATGTTATTTTGTTACATAATCATTTTAGAATAAAATCTTATTTCAGTTACACGAACATGCTCGAATAAACTTGTTATTATGACATTTATTTTGGAATATTGAAATATTGTTTATGCAAATGTATATACTTTAACTCAATTTCCGAAATTATTAACAGTAACATATGTAATAAGTAATTTGGTTTTTTTACTCACTGATAGATAATGTAATATGAGTAGAAACAAGTGGTTAATTCCTCAAGTTGTTTAAGAAAAATCAATATTTTAATTTTACAGGCTTTGTTTAAATATATATATTTATATATATTAATTTTAATAATACTACTCATGCATATATTATTTTATTTGACGAACAACTAATTCAACATACCAAAATAGAATAGTTCTGAATGATTAAGATATAGGTCACCTCAGATGCTTTTATTGTGTGTTTTTTTTTAATATTTAACAGTTGAAATGTTCAAACACCTAACTTATCACTTAAAAAGATTCTGGCAGCCATGAAGAAGCGATTGCATTTGCCTATCAGCAAACAAACAATTATGTTTGGTGGCTGTAGGAACCCGTTGTGAATGTTTTAAATTAAACTCGTAAAATAAAATAGAAGTGTTAAAATGTATTACCAAATGTTATGGTTAGTTTGAATAAATGTAAAATGTTTTAGTATGATCCACCCTTAGGATATGATGCCTGCTTGTTAACTTTGTCTTTTCACACAATATCTGTGAAATGCAGGCTTCATAACTTCTGATCCCCTTTCAAAATTCCATTTTGTTTAGTTCTTGTCAATTGTTTTCTCGTTTAGGGCATATGTTTTCTTTAACTTAAGGACCATACACCGCAATTCATGGAATAGCACGAAAGTGTCACATTGAAGGTTTTATGATGAACGACATATCAGCACATCTGCGTATGTTTCTTAATTCAAAATTTCACAATTTCCATGTTAAAATGTTGAGTTATGCTTAATCCGGTGCTAGGGGGCGCAAACGGTAGTTTGCACTTGACAGTACCGTTTGTGAACAGGCTAAATGAAACCGAGCCTGCAATATGTTTAATTTTGTCGTTTTGGCCTTTCTTTATGGATTCTTAATGTCTCTCTTTTAAGTCTTACTTGTCTGTTTACATTAAATTATTTTTTACTCGACCGAAAACGATTTGATAAGAAAGAAATCGTTACTAGTCATGAAAGTATATTTTTCTTGGCGGCAGATCAAAAGCAGCATTAAATAGCAATAAAGAAACCAAAGAAAAGATTCATGAATATACACTCAAAGTTATTATTATGATATCATTGGCAGCATCGAATGTTTAAAGCCATGTTCAAATCGAAGAGTTGCTTCGTTCCTTCACTACTATAATTAACACTAACACACATGTGTAACTTTAAGTTTTGACTTTAAATAGGTATTTATTGCTATACATTATTCAGTATGCATGATTAATCTAAAAAAAAAACTGTTTATTAGAAAACAAGTAAGAGAAATGGCGATATTTTTTGCCGTTGTAAAAAGCCATTATTTGTAATAAAACCGGTGATATCAAGGGCAATGAGAATTCTTGTAAGCAATGATGTATCACATTACAGCTAGCTTCGGTGGTTCTACTCAGAGGTCCGTTCGTGACTGTTTAAAGCGGTAACGAGGCTCTGTCGAGTTTCCGCTAAACAGTTACCCGAGAGCAAGATATTTCCGTCTGTACCGACAGCCGGTGTTTGATTCTTTTTCTTGCATATTACATTTCAATTATTTTCAGAACAAAAGTTACGAAAACTGATATTCTCATTACGCAGTTTATTCTTATAGTAGCGTATGAACGTACAACCTTATTCATAACGGTTAAATGACGTCATCCTAAGAACGCAATTCATTCATAAAAGGCGCGCAGCAATGACGTCATTTAAAGCACGCGACTTGTCTTACATGGGGGTGTATGACAGGATTTTCTAGCATCGGTGTAAACGGTAGATAATCCTGTCTGATATGTAAGAAAAACTGTAACAACATAGATATCGATCGGTTAGAAGATAACGGGAACTAGCACGAAATACTATTATTTACAAATTTCACATCACTAGAAAGACCCTATAAAATAATTCATCGAAAGTTGTTTTTGTTTTTTTTTTCATCAAAAAAGGAGTAACATAATAATAATGCTTTCAGGAATATGCATTTCGCTCTTAAACTTTAAAACCTCATGTATTGTCAATAACAACTGATTGATACTAATTAACATACCTTTGAGATCTTCAAGCTTCAAGACCCCATCATTATTTACGTCAAGTAATTCAAACGCCTGATTGACTACTTCAACACGCTTGGGTGACATGGCCGGTTGAAGTTTAGATAACAATTCCGTGAAGTCAATTTCGTTACTTTTATTTCTATCAAAGACTTGAAACAAAAGACGTATATCTTCTTCTTTTACATGGAGACCATAAGTCTGTATACCTTGACAAAACTCACTGAAACACAGACGCTTTGAAAAGTCTTTGTCCATTCTGCGAAAGAGTACTGCAAGCCCTTTTATTCCACCAACTCCTTTGAGTAAACACTGATCTTTTATTTGCTCCAGTAATTGTTTAACGTTTTTGTTTTCCATGTTTCTATCCACAGTGATTGAATTAAATTGTAAAATTGCACTGCAGTCAAATGAGTCCTTCTACAAACATTTCCTTAACATTACTTAATCTTGGAAATCTTTGAAATATTCTGTTTCATTCACTACCTTGTAACATGAACTGTTACAAAAGCATATTTTATTATGGACAAATAGTTTTAGCCTTTTAGTCTCCTACAAATGCAAACAGAACAAGAGTATCAGTAAAAAGGAGTCCTAAGTAGCGCGAAGTTCTATCCTAAATAATGCTTGTCAGTCTAATATTGATTATTGTTAAAACAAATGTGTCCGTTATTCAAATTGTTTTTTTTAAATAATTGGTTCCTTTCGCTGTGAATTATACAAGTTATTTGCTTACTACTCCAGACTAAAACAATTATAACCAATTATCTAGTGTTGACAACTAGATAATTACGTAATATGTAATAAATGTGACATTCACATTGTATGTATTATCATTTCTTAACCCATTACCCGATATACACACTTTTTAACTCCTTTTTCAACCCCTTTTATTGTTTCTCAAATGGTGAAGAAATGCCTTATTTAGGCCCCCAACACTTGTTTTTGTTTGAGAAATGTTGTTTAAAAAAATGATCACCTTTTCGGCGCGGCCTCCAACCATAAGATACATCAGGGGGTTGCCAGAAGGGGGATGTGCCCCTTCTGATTTGGGGGTTTAAAGGGGGCGGCAGTACCCCTCATCGCCAAGAAAATTTTGGACTTGTGAGAGGTAAAAATTGACCCTAGATCAATCATAAGGTAACGTGTAACCAACGCTGAAAAGCATTTGACTCTATCTCAATCCATTGAGAAGTTGCAGCACTTTGAAATCAATTTTGATGGGAAAAATCAACGCAAAATAGTGATTTTTGACAATTTTGAGATGTTCCCTCGTTGCCATGGTAACAGGAAATTTTAGCCTGGGCATGTTGTAACAAAGGCAATGGTCCAGTCAATATTTGTGCTAAGTTTGATAAGTATTGAAGCAGTTTTTATAGTTTGATAGCAATTTGAACTTGTAAGGGGAGACTTTTCAATGAAACTAGCCATTTTTCACTAGATGCTCATGAAGTAATGGGTTAAGAATACAGTTCACACGCAAAGCAGCATTTCTCAGACAATCATATTCTCCAATATATCCAGCCACCAATCTATAAATCAAATTCATGATCGCATATTCTTTTTATTCGCATTTTAAAGGAAACATTGGGAAATTTATTCAACGTTTTATTACATTTTGCACATTTTAAGTGAGGAAGAACTTGATATGTTATAAAGATGCAAATATTTACATTTGGCCTTACCATAACAGATGTATCATCCTTTTTATCAGGCAACAGGTTTTTTTTCATGTTTTCCTTAAATGCGAATGATGTCGAATTGTGCCATTAATATACAGCGTCAGTGTGAATTAGAAAGCTTTTTCCTTCCAGGTAATCAAGCCACTCTCTGACGTAAATAATTCTAGTTTTTATCATAAAACATTAATTACGGTTGAAAATTGTATTGAATATAAAACTCATTTTCCCCATGGCTTGGCTTCATTAGTATCGTTTGTATTAATGATTGTGATTTTCATTTTCACAGCTAAACTATTCCATCATTTCATTCAAGAAACGAAGATGGTAGACATGTATATGAAATCATTTTTATAAGATGACTTTAACTAACTATATAACTTTGCATCAATAAAATGACACATAACCGATTCAATAAAGTTGCCATAACAACGTTATGATGTTCATCTGTTAGCATATACTTCTTCAGATTACCATATTCTACTCCCAAGACAGTTTCAGCTGTAATACATTCGTGCATTCCTTATTGATTAACTATTTATGGTGACACTTTAAGTCAAATACGTTATAACACTATGTTAAAGTAACGAGATACAATAGATAAACTTTTAATCCTAAAGAAACCATTGCATTGTCATAAATAGTTTTGAACACGTTATGAAATATTCTATCATTGTATCATTATCATTATATTCTCCAATACTTATTAAATGTTTGCAATCTTTTTTAGGTTATTGTTAATTTTCAAATCTAAACATGTGGATAAAGAAAACATATTCATAATCTTCAAAATTAAAAGTATTTAAATCAATGATCTTGAAGGACCATGCTTTATTTATAGACTTAAGGAAGTGGTGATTTTGTGACAAATTGTCTATTTCACATGATGATAAAATAATTCATTTACTTATAGTCGTTGCTTTTAGGAAGAGCAATACCTGATTCTTGATTTTCTTAAGTATCCCATTTGAAAAATAAGCATTCTTTAGCGTTTGCTTCTTGAATCGAATTCGAAACTCGCACATAGCGTTATGTCGTAAAATATTTACAATTACAACTACTTGGATTGTATGTCTCAGAATATCTTCCCACCAGTTTAACGAGATCTTGATACAATAACTCAGCTGCTGCTACTCTAAGAGAACATATGAAGTGCTTATGTATCTATATATAACATTTATTATGTACATATATATAACATTTATTCTTTTTCTTTTATTTCTTACTACGCATGTTCAATTGAATAATTTGCATAATCAATTGTTTCTAAATCTTACTTCATGATATATTTCAAATGCAAGATGCATAATAATATCGGATATTGTTAAAACAAGTTTTTACTTTAATCATAGATTTTCATGCTAATGATTTTATCTGTAAATGTATGGAAATTGAAGTTACATTTGAACTTAATTTAAGCATTTGTGCAATATTTTGATTTATACAGTATAACACTAACACATTATAGTAAAACATAATATTCCCATATTTATTCATATTAAACGACCCTATTTATGAAGATTGTCATTTAATTGCTGGATTTACTTAATATAAAACCCCATTATTCCTTAAATGCTAGAAATGCTTCTTACTTTTTTGTGTGTCCTTTTAAATTTTTTATACTAACCTGAACCATGCTTTGCCTATTTTGCATTTTGGCAATATGTACTTTAAGAGTGATATAATATTTTTTATGGAAGTCATAATATTTTAAAATATTTCAAAAATTTACATGTTTCTACTTTTATCACAAATGACTTACATTCAACTATATTCTTCAGGTTCAAAACATCTCAAATGTTCTTAATTAATTATAACTTCTTTTAGACTGTGATTTAACGCCCCTCCACCTTTATAATCGGTGTATACCATTTGTGATTCAACTGTTAATTTATAACCGATAAACATGCATGCCCTTGAGACGTTTATTCTTGTTTGTGGATCATGAAGTTATATCATTTATGTATTAATTATTCTTTTTCTCCTTTCATATTAAAACCGAACTGTTTTTCATGATCATGTGAGGTTGCATGATGCACCATTTCTTAGCAATATCCGCACATACAACCTCAAATTAATCATTGATGCAAGTATTGTGAACCATACCATTAATCTCGGAGAAAACAACACAAATGTTAAACATCTATGTGTCTTCATTAATTTCACGATCCTCTGTTTGGCAAACCATAACACGCCCGCATCATAAGATCGAAATAGCTGTCATCATCCACTGTTGAACTGACCTCAGCATAATAGTTCATGAATTCCTCGGTTGTTACTTTACCATCTGGATTTCCAGGTGTATCAATACTGTCCAAGAAGTTCTGGAGCACCTGTTCTTCAGTCCATTCACCGGATACAAACTTTGGATGTCTTCTTGCGTTTGTAGAATAGACGACTGAAATTATAAAACCACTTCTAATATGAGCTTGTAATAAGTATACACTTGTTTATGATATGACATTTGATTTTTCTCAAATAGATTATGTCGTTTATGAAGTGATCAAAGTGGTGCATTATATACGATCTTATATAAACTGTACAATATAATTAAAAAGAAATATGACAAAATAATCACCAAGTAAACGTCGGTAATCTGTGAACGCAACCTCGACAAACTACTGCAACACGGAAGCACATATAAGGAAGCCGAACAATGACAGGGTGATATTATTGCTAACAATTCAATTATTCAACTGATGGTAGGCAACTTTTATAACTATAACATGGGTGCAATTGAATGATCCCAAACTGAAATGTCATTATTTTACCTTCATGCTAAGATCTAAGGCTCGTAATTTAATTTTATTTGCGTTTTGTTTTCAGATTTAAAATGGAATTTCGCATGTTTCATATTTAAAACTTATTAGAGGTTTAATCGATACATTTTAATAAAAGCAATGAAAGCATTAATTCATATTTATTCATAGCATTAGATATAGTATTAGATATGGTTTTAATCCAAACCAGCATACACGTGTTTTTATTGTAACTCATACCCTTTATATTTGCAACTAAAATTGGGCACTCAAAAAATATATATAAAAAACACCCTCCCCCCGATATAATAGGTTTAACATATATTATTCAAATAACAAACTCTACAGACTTAAATAAACATTTACTTAAGTTAAGAAACTATTAGTCAGATATTGTAGTTAATACACGTCGAAAGAGAGAATATTGGTTATAAAGAGTTCATCTTACACTTTATTTGTAAACATAACACTTCAGTCCTGATGTGTTAACATGATTGCTCTTACACAACCCAGATTTATCAATTTCACGACAAGGGTTTCCTGTCAGGTTCAATTGAATTTTATTGATTATTTTTAGAAATAGTTCTTGTATCTGTTTCTTGTCAATGTTCATTTTTATTTTAATTGCTTTGAGATCAAGAGCTATTTTTTACCAAAAACATTCCTTCTACTTACAAAAGGAAATGAGAACATAAAAATGTTAACGTATCTGTCTAATAAGCAAGAAACATTTAATCATGCATAGGTTAATTTGAACACTTTCTTTTTTTAATAAAGTACACATGAAATAAAAATATTATGTTACTCACTTTTCAAATCTTCCATTTTTAAAACACCATTTTTGTTTGCATCTAATAAATCGAATGCTTGGTTTATGACATCGATTCTAAGTTTTGACATAGGAGGTCTGAGTTTCGCAATAAGCTCTAGAAAACCTATCTGATTATTTCTATCCCTGTCAAATGAGTCAAATAATAATCGCAGATCGCTTTTATCAAATTCAACTCCATATAAATTTATTCCTTGTTAAAGCTCCTGGTAGGACAGAAAGCAACAGCTAGTGATTTTAATCCACCAACACATTTTAATAAACATTGATCTCTCCGTTTGTTAAGAAGTTCCAACACATTTTTATGTTCAATTTTAGCTTTCTTATACATTGTATGAATTGATTTTAGTAACGTGAAATATACACTTCCTTAATACAATAATAATTCCATTAGACTATACTTTGTAGATAAAGTAAATCAAAGAAAAATGAAACCTGCCAACGAATATCTTTACCTTGATAATATTTTGATTGTCATATTTTGTACTTTAGTTATCAATTATAACTGTTATTCGTGTACTAACTAAACACTCCGACAGAATGTTTCACTAATTTCTGTCACATGACACACAGCACCCTCAATACCAGCTTCATTCATCAATAACCGTTTCCCTCACGAAGCTTGATTTAAGATAACAGTGAGTAATTTGAGACCACTACAATTTACGATTGGTGCAATGATCGCGTTTCTTTAAACAGCAGGTAAAAAGACAGACAATAAATGAAAGCACAATTGCAATAAAACAGTGAAAATATAAGAGCTGATATTGCTTTTTTCAAGTCGTTTCAAAAGGGGTTTAGGGTAGGTGTAATCATGATATATTGATATATGATCTAACGATGTTCTTAAAAAATTACAATTTCATCTATATCGCATATATATTGATGACGTATCTAGTTTGTGAAGTGTAACAACTTTGATTATATATTCTACGATGACATATAGCTTATTCACTATCGGACACTGCATAAACTGTACTAAAGAACACCATAATTCATTGTCAAGAAACAAACAAACAATTGATTCGTTTCATTTGAATGCTCATGTTTATTATTGGGAACACATTGAATATTTAGTGAAGCATCACTTAACAAAGGTGGCGATTTAAATATACAATGTAACAAAATTAACAAATTAATGTTTGTGACATAAGTTGTCTTATACTTTTGTAATCAACACAATTTCGAATTTGAGTCTTCTCATGAAGAAACAGAATATGCAACATATGATTAAACCTTCTCAATTTAACTTCGATTTCATTTCCGAGTCAAAAAAGTCCATATAAAATCAATATTTTACTCCATACGGCCTAGTTTTCATTTACTGAGTCCAAAACATCCATATCAAATTAATATATACTCTGATTAACAATAATTTGTCAATTTGTAAATCAAAATGTTATTATGTCTATTGAATGTTCGAAAGAATTCAGTTTTGTATTCGAATGATTAATAATGTTTTCCCTATCTAATATTAAGGAAACCATATACGTTGGTGACATCTGTGTTGACATGCATAAAAACTAGAATTAACATTTTGTCTAAGAAGTAAATAAGTGACAATTCAAAACACTGTAGAACCTCGAGAATAAAAAATGTATGCACTAAAGTTACCACACATTGCATACAAATAAGAGCGCACATATTTTTATCTTATGGGAAATAGTTACAGAATTTTCAATGTTTCAAGGTATACTAGAATTACATCATGTACATCTTTTGAAGACAATATATTTTCATTATGACACAGCTATTGATAAGACTCAAAGCAAAAGAAAAATTCATGCATGCACGAAAATTTATAAATATAGAATAATACAAAAAGTATGTGCATCAAGTGTTCATATGTTGTTCGTTTATTAATTATATTCTATTTTCTCAAGGTAATACTAATATGAATTGCATTATTTCAAGGAAATGTTCTTCCGTATACTAAAATCAGGCGGATACTCAGTCATTTCGTTCTATAAGCGCAAATAAAACATAGATACATATTCCATGCCTCATCTATAAACGCATATAAAGGAAAAACACATTATAAAAGGCATATTTTAATCATTTATAAGCGTATAGGTCCTTCACTATATTCCTAATCGTGCACATATTATAAATGATGTATCATTGATGATTGAACTCTCTAAAACAACAACAACAGCAGCAGCATACTTGAGGTGGTACTACTTAAGCTATATTTTACACCGCTGAACAATGAAATTTTATATATCAGATGCTTAAATACTGAACAAGATATTCAGAAATATCTATTACCTTGAGATATATGAATATCGTAAATATTTATAGATATTAAACTCGAAATGTAACTAATCTTTATCCACCAATACATTTTGTATATGATTTAAACCTTCTGGAGCAATAAAACATGCTAAAGGGGTTTTGAAGCAATTTCGAAATAGATACATATTGCTTGTAAATTGATGCTTACATAAGTATAAGTTCAGTTATCTGTAAAATCCATCATTTTCGTGATAGTTTCAAAAATATCTGCATGCATAACGAATTTGTATTTCTTTCCATGAATATCAAACTATCTAAATTCCTTAATAAATAGAGAGGGAAATGTTTAGAACGAACATATACAGTTAACATGCCAGATGCGAAAATTAATTTGTCCTGTTTCTTAGAAACATTTGAACTATAACATATACATTATTATTTATTGTTATTTCACTTAAATGTACTTGTGTTTATCTCAAAATGTTGCAATATTTAATGTTAAACATGTATCAGGCTTGGCAGTGATAGATACGGATTATTACCAAAAGTGTCTGTTATCCCCTTATAAAGAAGAAATAGATATGTATGTCATACATATTTTTATAAACCAAAGTGATGTTTTTCCCGATTCCTTCAATGTTTTGCTCTAAATGTTGAATATCACTTTAAGTAGATAACGCTTGCAGATCAGTTAGATTATAAAAAGACCATCACCTTACTTCCAAATACTTTTAGTTTACCGTGAAACAGCATAACGCTTAATTAAATTTTAATTCAATTTTGTTATTGTATCAAATTCTTTTTTAAAGAGATTTAGTTTCATTTAAATCAATTTGGTTATCCTTATTTTTATCAAATGCGTCGAATAATACTTTTGCATCCTGCTGCACCAATACAATACCAAAAATATTCAAACCTTTACAAAATTCATCACTGCTGAATATATGATCCAATACGTCTCCGGTTATAAATAGCTTTACACATTCAGCTTATCTAAAGCAGAAATTAATCTTCAACAAAATACTTGACGTATATTTCAAAGCAAAATATTTTTGAAAGTGCAGCAGTCAGGTGCCACTTTCAATTAAATCTATTGAGAACAGATCATCGTTAAAATTCTGCAACTAATATTTTAATTCTGAAAAAATAATCATAAAAATGATTATGCGAAAATCTTTTAAGATACCTTTTCAAACGTAGGATATATTTAATATACATATTTGAAATGGTTTGAAAGGGTTGTACAAATTTGAAGGTAGACTAGGTTGATAATCCAGTATAACGAGGAAAACAAGTTAATGATATTACCTGATCAAGCAGCTGGACATTATGGTAAATATTCAGATTAGTAGGGCATTGTGGTAAATATTGAGATACCAATAACACTAATATTTAGATTTTCTACAACGAGTATTTGTTAACTTACAAACGAATATGAAGAGAGTTGGTTAATTTTATAGTGTAGTTTAAGTGCTTTATACTGAAGACGCGGTTTCTTTATACACCTTTATATCTTTGCCCATTTTTCAGGTCAGTGAACCATAGCTGCTGCTGAATTTTTATTAACTGCTGTTTTTTCCATTTCTAAAAGTGTTCTAAAATATCAGAAATCTTTAACTGAAGAGAAATGCTGCTTGGATTTGAAACTGGTTGAATAGGAAACAGACCCGGCATCTGAAACCCAAGACAAATATTATACAACTTAAATACAACCTTTTCAGCTAAAGAACATATTTTGCAAATACATCCTATATAAAAGTAGAATATTATTTTTTTTAATATGAGGTATGGTATAATAATTCTATTAGAACGTACGCATACTGATTAATTAATATTTAATTACACCAAATGTAAATCAACAACTGTTGTTGATTTACATTCGGTGTAATTAAATATTTATCATTACTTATGTTTTTTTACTGACATAGCAAAATGTCTTCACACCTCAACTTGTTTATAGTTCTGTTTTCATTTGATATTTTATTTTTATTTTACTGATACGAAAATAAAAATGCCACTCGCACATGTACAAAAAAATGACATGGCAGTACTTCACAATATTACTCATTATTCCGTTGTTTTAAGCGCTATAACTGATAGTTTTTATATTGTTACTCATTTAGTATCAAAGGAATTGCTATTTCAAAAGTATGAAGTAAAAAATATTAGTTCTATGATAATAACTGCATCTTAACGCTTAACATTTTTTTCATCAATTCATTTAAAGAAACACTAACAAGAAGTTTAGAAATTTTATCGTACAATCACACGATCTAATTTTCCTGTAAAACAGCTTGCAATTTTTTTATTGTAAATCAATAAGCAATAATCATAAAAATATCAAAGATATTTTCTATGTTACATGTATATGACAATATATTGCAAATATTTTTCATGATTATATGAAAATAATACGTATTGTTTTATTGTTGAACATGTCGAAATCTAACAATGTCGAAATTTTAAATTGGGATTTTAATTTTTTGTGCATAATGTAATTAATAAAGCGAAGTGTGCGCATTCTGTGAGATGATTTCCATTTGTTATTTTCAAAATAACGCTTATAACCAACGTTTGTATATATTTCAATACAATTTATACATTGCATCATCGTATAAGATACAATTTTGAAAAATCACTGATAACTAAAGAATATCGGAGATTGAACAATTCTACGGAGACTTGGAAATAAAAAAAAACGTTTTGATACTGCCATATACAGCAACATAAATAATTGCTTTGACATCTGGTATAAATAAGAAAAGAAGCGAACTATAAAACATCAAAGATAGAAAAATATTTAAAATGACTGTTTGGTTTATTGAATTATTGACAATTATTGACATAAATTTATTATTTTTACTGTTCCGTTCCTATCAATAAACTTGAAATTGCAAAAAAGAAACATAGAAAGAATAAGGATTGAAATGACTTTTACATGTAATTTAGAATCAAAAATATAATTTAAAATGAAAACCTAATCCCATTTGCGTGACTTAAAATCTTTCTCGTCTTAATTGAAAATACTATCCTCAAACAAATATCTTCACAACTCATTTGATTGCCACTTTCTATTTACTCATGTAGACCTGATATGTTTTAACAGCATATAGCTTACTTAAGGATATTCTCTTTACAATTAGCGTGTTGAAGTGAAAATTCATTTTCAAGATGGAAATGAAAAAATTAGTACAAAAACGTGAAACATAAAGTAATGATTACAAAATGTTGTCTAACCAAACTGATAATGTAGATTTTTATTGAATAACGTGACGTTCATATTATTTATATGCACGGCTGATGCACATTAATAATACAAATTTCGTCAAAAAGACTTTTATCATATTGTATTGGCGTGTATTA